TGTTGCTTCAAACGAACAAAATGCACAAATTGCAAATGATGGACTATATCTTTAGGCAAACCAGAAGATACCTGTACGGCATGTGAAAACATGTTTTTTTTATCGTGTGCTTGGATACTGTAATTTCATTGGTCTAGAACAGCCACGTGTCTGATCTATGAAAATGCATGTCACACACTTACATATTTACAATGTTCGTGGAGAAGAGTGATATCACACTGCGTTCACTGCGCGTGCGTATGGAACCTGCCAGCACGCTAGCTGAGAACTGCATCGTCAAACACTCCGGCAGGACAGCAAAACTTTCAGTAATATCAAAGGTTTCATTTAGTTCTCAGACAGTACATGTAAGTTACAACCGTTTATCTTTTTGACTTATTGGCATGGTAGGCCTATAACTGCTGTGATGTTGACTGCTGTGATATGCGATATGCCGTTTTTAATCCCCTCGGGCGCATAGCACCGGAGGCGAATATGCCAATGTCATCATCAGCACTATAATACTGACAACTACCGGTACCACACTGTTTTCGAATTCATGATCGATTTAAAGATATAGTCCATCATTTGTAATTTGTGCATTTTGTTCGTTTGAAGCAACAAAAGTGCTCAAAATCTAATGAAGGATACTGAACAAATAACCTGATGAAGTTTCAGCTCAGCTTCAGCTGTATATTCCGAGAAAAACAGCATTCTAGGATCTCAATTTCAAATCCAAAGTTGCTGAATCATGTTTTGAACTGTTTTGAATTGCAGCTATACGCGATGTCACACACTGATCCGACGAATTATAGCAACCGCGCGCGCCTGTGCGTCGTGCCAGTGCTTGCGCGCGCTGCGCCAAATAACAAAACAAACTACCAATATAAATTTTCCTACAGTGTGTCTTAAGACGCACCGTTGTAAAGGCCTTCTTTCGTTGAGTAAGTTTAGTCCACTTACTATCTTACAACCAAGTATGTTTTTCAACAATAATTATGCCAGTTACTTTTTCGGATGGCTGCAAATGATGGACTATAGCTTTAACCACCGTCAATGGCAGCGCCAGACTCTAAAATTGGGGGGGGGGGGGCAATTGGGGGGGGGGGGGCAAGGAAATAATTTGGGGGGGGGGGGGCAGTCAAAAAAAATCTAAAGGCTGTGTATGCACGTACCATTGTCAATGGTCCCGAAATAAGCCACTAGAGCAACTAATAGAGGTGTAGTCGTTTTTATGCATGAGAAATGTATCAAACTGCAGAACGGTGTATAAAGTTCTACAAATACGTTGGCTGTCCTAAAAAAAAATTCGTTTAGGTGACAAAAATGGGCAGGTCTGATGGTAAACTAATATTTTCTTTGGTCGGGCCTTCGTCTCAATATAAGCTTGTGACAGTCTTGGAATAAATGGTGTTGACACGCAAAATGACTTGACATAAACTTAGCTCTAGTTGCATGTGGCGCCTTGTCATCTAGTGTTAATCGCCAAAAATGGACGAGCGATATAATTACAACACCACCATTGCTGTTCACGGGCCGAGGCGGAGAATAACTTGTGGTGGCGTTCTGAGTAGAAAATGCGCCGTAAACAAATTGGACAGTCCATCATGCCAGTCCCAAATTCAATCATAATTCTTTTCAAGCGAGAAATGTTTCCCGCGGGCGCTAAAAAATGTCTGCGGAATGCATTCATGTCACGGTGTGTTAAATCATGGATAAACGAACATGACAAATGTGATGTCAGAGTGTTGATGGCGAAATGTTTGGTTGGTGCTAGGGGGGAATCCACACTAAAAGTCACACAGATTAAAGATAGGATCGTTTCCTTTTTGTGCATTTTCTTTTTTGAAATTTAAACCAACAACCTTGCTCAAAATCTTACAGGGCCCATGTAATGTAATATTTTTTAATGCGACACTTGAAAATGCTCCTTTGTGTCCCATTTAATCTTATTTCCAAGTTTTTCATTTTGCCATTTTTAAGAGCATTTCCGTGACTTTTTGGTTTTTAAGCTAATGCTAATTTCCACGTTCATGAGCAAAAGTGTGATGTCATTTCAGGCAGGACAAGCATGGACAATTTTTAAAGTTTAAAAGAGTGCACTTTTCAACAAAATTAACCAAAAAAAGGTTGTCAAATAGTTTCCATACATTTAAGAGGAGTAGAAAGTTGCACAAAATATGTTCCCAAGTAAGATTCATGTCATGGGTCCTTTAAAAGTAGGGTGCATAACCTGTTTCAGCTCAGTGCATACTACACATTTTGAGAAAACAGGAAACCTAGGCTCATTTTTTTGCCAGGATTAAAATAGTAGGCCCTCTCAGTTATGAAACTATGGTCAGACATTCACTCACTTTTGGGCCCTTTACCAATTTACAACGAAAATGCTGAAATGTTGAACTGTGATTGCAATCCAAAGTAACAAATGGATATGACATTTCCAATTTGGTTGTGAAGTTTCATTTTGTCCGAACAGTTCATTTTTGCGTTGAATTAAAACTGATGTTGAAGATGAAACAGTAAACACACAAGCGCATGTCAAATTCCAATCCTTGTGTCAACACATTTGTTTTTCACAAAACGATTCTTATGGGCTGATTTTCGGGCCGTTAGCGACCCCTGCCCACATTTCTATAAATAGACGGTCCCACGCAAGGGCCCCGTGTTTTTACATGTATAAATAGATGTGAGAGTGCACGGCGTGGTAGCCTGCGCCCTGGTTCCCATCAATGATTGACTAAGACGGTCGTGGTCAGTGCGTACCCGTGTCTGTGTATCAATTCTTACCCTTGATTTTACACCAGATAACATTGAACGGTACTTGCAATATAGTTTGATTTTTTAACTCTAACTCCCTAGGCTTTTTTTCTAGGATGTTGCCTCAATCCTGCAAAATCCTCCAATAGGCCACATGGAAAAATAACATATAGCCTCAATCCTGCAAATTCCTTCATTATTTCTTGAATATGGCCCGTGGAGGGGTGACCATTGCCTGAATCCTGCAAAATCCTGCGGCAGTGACTGTCAATATGTTGAGGCTTGGCCAGTGACATCCTGGAGCAGTACGGTGGATTTCAAGCATAATACAGGCCTATATTTATGCATGGCTGAGCAAAAACAACACAAGGTCCGACCCAAGACCTTGACAAAGTGCATCCTATGAAGTGGCGCACTTTTGCCATGTAACCTCAATCCTCCAAATTCCTCCACTTTGGCAAAAAGGATTTTGAAGGATTAAAGGGGGTTAGGGTTAATGCAATCATTTTGACCCACCCTCTCTGGCTGGCAATTTCAACAAGGCCAGTCCAGCAGTCAAAATAAATCAAGTGACTGTTTTTTCACATTTGAGTGCTCCCTGCCAGGATTGACTGGCTGTGATTGTTATGAAACCTGATATAGCTATGCTTTGACTGTAGGAGATTGATAAGCCAGCTGTGCCTACCAGTCACCTGCTTTTGTCTGTCGATGGAATTTGACTAGTCACAGTGCCTATTGAAATATGATCTCACTGTTGGTGACTAGTCGGTGTAAAAGGCATGGCAGGGGAACAGGATTGAATTTTTGACTGTCTGTGAGTGATTAAACAAAAGGAGGGTTGCATCCCATTAATAGCTCTTTTTCATTTAATAGCTTCATGTAGCCATTTTCGAAGTCTTTTTGGTACCTTTTACGTTTTTATGGTAATCGATTTTCCATATTCATGAGCCAAAGTGTGATGTCATTCATGGCAAAAACTTCTGTGTTACAGCTACACGTACATGTACTTCAGCACCAAAAGTTGCCAGATTCTTCTTTTTTTTTTGCAATGGTGGTAAATTTTCTGTTTAAATGGCGACTCACTTTTGATTTAGTGCATAACAGTGAGTCCATGCGCACATTTTTTTTTCTAACAAATGTTTTCAATGAGCAAATGTTGGGGCTCACAATTTGAACAGAAACCCCTATACAGGGTGGATAAAAAAAAACGAAACCGAGATATTATTGCTAATTGGAACAGAAGTAGGGCACATGTGAATCAAAGGGAGATATCCTCTGTTAGGGTTGAATCTCCACTTTAAAATGACACCCTGGTCATGTTATTACATTCACGGTTGACTGAGCAGTGACCCATTTTATGAAAGGGTCTATTTAGAGAATTGCGCCACTTTTCAATTGTGGTTTTTGTTGTGTCAATTGTGCTATGGTTGCCAATCAAGGCAGGTGGGGAAAAAAGAGATTTCACCATGTGGCGCAAGTCTCTAAATAGACCCTTTCATAAAATTGGTCACTGCTCAGTCAACCGTGAATGTAATGACATGATCAGGGTGTCATTTTAAAGAGGAGATTCAACCCTAACAGAGGATATCTCCCTTTGATTCACATGTGCCCTACTTCTGTTATAATTAGCAATAATATATCAGTTTCGGTTTTTTTTATCTGTATTATGCTGCTGGAGAATTGGTTGGTTCTTGCCTCTAAAATGTTTCTCATTTTTTTATGCTTTTGAATCTTAATTAGGTACATGTACACCTATGTTACTTTTGCTTAGCGCTCATGTTGGTTTACTCCGTAAAACAATATCCCCCTCAAAACTGAAGTTAGAAACGTTAACCCTAACTCCCTGAGCAATTTTGCTAGGATGCAACCTCAATCCTGCAAAATCCTCCAACTGCCTCCGTGTAAAAATTGCATACAGCCTCAATCCTGCAAAATCCTCTGTTATTTCTTGAATGTGGTCCTTGGAGGGGTGACCACTGCCTTAATCCTGCAAAATCCTCCGGCAATCACTGTCAGTATGTTGAGGCAGGGCCAGTGACATCCTGTAGCAGTGCGGAGGATTTCAGGTGTAATCTAGGCTGAATTTAAGCACGGCTGAGCATAAACAACACAAGGTCCGGCCCAAGACCTTGACACAGTGCATCCCCTGCAATCAGCCACACACTTTTGCCACATAGCCTCAATCCTGCAAAATCTTGCATTTTGCAAAGAGGATTTTGGAGGATTTGGGAAGGTCAGGGTTAATTAGTCATAAATGTACCTACCAGCCAACCATCTCCATAATAGGATGCCCCAGCTTCTCAATACTGGACACATGGTTGATGACCTACAAGGGTAAAGAAAGGAGAAACTAAGTCACAATAATTTGAAAATAGCTACGAATGAAGACACGTTTCAAGACAAAAAAAATTGTAGTCATTTTGTGTTTGTTGAATAGTTAGCCCCTAGTACACAACAGACACAAAAACAGACAACACAATGCGCTTAGGGAATGACTGCTTAAAGGGAATGTACAACATTTGCTTTTGCTGCAATTTTCAGAAATAAATGGATTTGGAGGATTAGTATGTTATAGCAAATATTGTTGAAATGACTTGTTTCACGTTTTGGGCTGGTAGATGCTGGAAAAACCATGAAAACCAATCGTGTTCTTGTAGTCTGGTTCCCTGACCCCACTTTAGATGACACGGAGCAATCATGACTTTGGGAAATGGTAAGGTCAGATAATCAGTCTAGCAGGCTTGTACCCCTTCACAGGCATGTAAACAATTGCAAAGAAAACGCGGAATAACTAATTATGAAAAACTAGGAGCAGTTTTTGAAAAAAGGCCAGTTTTTTTCAACGCTGGTTGGCCGACCAGCGTTGGAAAAATACCATTTTTCTTGAAAATGACAGTACACTAGGAGCCACAATTTTACAGGATGCTTTAGACTGTCATTCCCTAACAATCTAGTCAGGTATTTCGTGATTATTTGATCATTACGTTTTGTGATGTTAGCAAATGTTGTATCTTCCCTTTAAAGGTACAATGCAGGGTACCGGGTAGATCATTTGTGCATTTTTTTTGTTTGAAGCGACAAAAGTGCTAAAAATCTAAAGACAGGTGCTTAACCACTTCACGCCAGGATTATTTTGAACTTGACTGGACCCAGACGCGGGATTGTTTTGCACGAGCCTCAATGCCAGACGGGTTCAGGCCGTCATTTGCGGGTAGCACATCCTGATATTTCCAGCCTCGCTTGCTGCTGGGCTGGCCTCGTTGGCCAGCCAGAGAGGGAGGGTTAATTAATAAAAAAAGCAAAAAAACCATGTTTACTTGACTGTTTAAGTAACTTGATACAGCTATGTTTTGACTCCAGGTGAGTGATAAAACAGCTGTGACCACAACTTGCCTGCTTTGTCTGTTGACTGAGTTTGACTAGTCACAGTGCTTGCCTGACATATGATCTGACTGCTGGTGACTAGCCTTTGTTAAAAGTATGGCAGGGGAAGTGGAAGTGAATTTGGACTGTCTGTGACTGTTTAAATAGCAGGAGGGTTAAACTGAAAGTTTCACACACGTTTCAAAGATTAGCAACATGAATGATTTTCCAAGAATCTCGATATTAGCAAAAAAGACATATCATATTTTTTTTTTGCCTATCCCTCATTTTGAAAATCCTCCTAGTACCTTTGATTTAGACATGCTATTACTCAATTACTGCTTGCACGCTTTAAATAGATTTCTTCTGCAATCCAACAATATTCCATTCTTACTTTTGTACATAGAATATTGTTTGTTCAGTGCTAAATAACATATATCTGCAATAAAAAAAAAAAAACATTGAGCGATTATGCTCCGCAAAAAAAATATATGATTTCATAACACATACTCGGGGGACTCATATTTTAAGGTTACAATTTCATGGAGGTATAACGACAATAGGGATGACACATGCTCACACAGACCCCTGCCCCCCCCCCCCTCAACCCCTTCAACTCCAGCGTCCTGTCATGTCTGTCCTCGGCTCAGCCCACGCGAAGGAGGGATGCCATCGCCCGTGATACCGTTCCCCATTCATCATAAATGCTTTTATGAATTCATGCATTCAGAGTAAAATGTCAGCCGTGCTTAGAAGGGGGAATAGAGGTTTATTTTTCCCCCGTGGGCCCCGGGAAAAAAAAGCCTTGATCAATGCATCCACAAAGGGAATCCCTCAGCAAATCATGTTTTTTCCCCAGTTTTTTTTTCTTGTTTTTGTTTGATGGTTTACATTCAGAGAGATACTGTAATTTAATGGGCATCGTCAAGCATTTGGAGAGACATTAGTGCTCAGACGAATTAGTGATTAAGGGAATTCAAATCATGTTTTTTTTGCCCAGTTTTTTTCTTTCTTGTCTTCATTCGATGGTTTACATTCAGACATCAGAGAGATACTGTAATTTTAATGGGCATCGTCAAGCATTTGGAGAGACATTAGTGCTCAGACGAATTAGTGATTAAGGGAATTCAAATCATGTACTTTTTCCCCAGTTTTTTTCTTTCTTGTCTTCATTCGATGGTTTACATTCAGAGAGATACTGTAATTTGATGGGCATCGTGAAACATTTGGAGAGACATTAGTGCTCAGACGAATTAGTGATTAAGGGAATTCAAATCATGTTTTTTTTTTCCCAGTTTTTTTCTTTCTTGTCTTCATTCGATGGTTTACATTCAGAGAGATACTGTAATTTGATGGGCATCGTGAAACATTTGGAGAGACATTAGTGCTCAGACGAATTAGTGATTAAGGGAATTCAAATCATGTTTTTTTTCCCCAGTTTTTTTCTTTCTTGTCTTCATTCGATGGTTTACATTCAGAAAGATACTGTAATTTGATGGGCATCGTGAAGCATTTAGAGAGACATTAGTGCTCAGACGAATTAGTGATTAAGGGAATTCAAATCATGTACTTTTTCCCCAGTTTTTTTCTTTCTTGTCTTCATTCGATGGTTTACATTCAGAGAGATACTGTAATTTGATGGGCATCGTGAAACATTTGGAGAGGCATTAGTGCTCAGACGAATTAGTGATTAAGGGAATTCAAATCATGTTTTTTTTCCCCAGTTTTTTCTTTCTTGTCTTCATTCGATGGTTTACATTCAGAGAGATACTGTAATTTGATGGGCATCGTGAAGCATTTGGAGAGACATTAGTGCTCAGACGAATTAGTGATTAAGGGAATTCAAATCATGGTTTTTTTCCCCATTTTTTTTTTCTTGTCTTCATTCGATGGTTTACATTCAGGGAAATACTGTAATTTAATGGGAATCGTGAAGCATTTGGAGAGACATTAGTGCTCAGACGAATTAGAGATTAAAGGAATTCAAGTTTTGTCTGATGAGCACTGCATCAGTATGTACCGTACCGGTACATGTACAAAACATGCACTCTTTTACAATAGCCTTTAGGTACAATGTACACAGAGTAAACGTATACATGCAACTGAATCCCCATTGAAAATGCACACATTCATGTTGTGAATACAAACGTGTACACCTGCATGTACCGGTACATGTACATAATTGAACATTCATGTTATATTGTACGTACATGTACATGTACATGTATGAACAGGGTGAGTCAAAAGTTCACCATTTTATGGTGGCAAAAATAGTATATTGAGGAAAAAACTGGGTATTTCATATGAATGGTTATTACCTTGTCTTCCACAGGAATTTTGAATTTTTCAAAGTAGTGGCTGTGGTGAGGAGTTATGCCATTTTCATTGAAGTGGCTGATTTTCCAGTCTGCACACGGAATTGGTTTTGCCTTTTTTCAAATGTGTCAATAACTTCAAGTGAGTCAGTCACCATGACTAGGTTTTTATTTATTACACTGCTTCACATCAGTACGCGATTTCAATAACTTTGTTTTTTAGGTTATGTTCTTTGCTAGTGTTTGTCTTCAAAATGGTACAATGGATATAGGCCTACATGAAACTTTCATCAAACATGTCCAAAATACCAGCCTATCACATATCTCATTTGCAGTTGTTTTGATAATTGCTACATGTTTAATATCATTTTCTTTAATTTGGGTCCAGATCATTCTGAATCACCCTGTATGTGTGTACATTTCTCAATGCTTCTAAATGAGGTGGTTTTATTGAGCCACAAAAAAGGGAATACAAATATTGATGGTTTTGTAAATACAATTGGACAGGAGCCTCATTGCATTATGAGCACAAACACACTGTGTGGCATGCGTGCGTTTTCCGTTATATTACAGGTTTGTACTTGTAACCACATCGACGTGTACAATTGCATGTTATCACACTGGATCAGAATATGTTGAAAGAAAATAAAAATAACATAAATTTCCCTATGATTATGAAATTTAAAGCTTCAATTTTAAACTTAAGTGATCCACAGATCGCATGTGATGCCTACAAAGTCAAATTTTGGGCATTTTTAAATGACCTCAAATGACCCCTAGATGACCTATGACCTCAAATTTTGAAAGATTTGTGATGAACCCCACCCAAGGATCACTCCAGCCTAGTTAATATAAAATCCATCAAATTCTGTAGACAAAGAAACATTTGAAGCATATTTGAACAATGACCTCTAATGGGCCCTACATGACCTTTGACCTCAGTAATCCGATGAAGAATTGTGTCTTCCTACTCAAGGGTTACTGCATCCGAGTTTCATCAAAATCCATGAAAGCATGTAGAAGTTATACATTTGTCTAATAAAAACTGAACCGAAACTTTAACATACGGGTCACACGGTCATAATACTTAGTAGGACTCGCTCAATGACGGCCATTTCTGTAGGAGAACTGCAACTGCGTATTTTACGCAATGAAGCACGCATTGCCCAGTGTTGAAAATGTTCCAAACACGCGCGCTTGTTGCTCGAAATGTGTTTGAAATACGACGCAGCTGCTGCGCGTTATGCAAGTTGACGCTCAAAATGCCGATGCACGTGGATGGTCTGTAGGAAATGACGTCATTTGAACGAGACCTACCGGGTATACAGAATTTAGGACTGGCTAATGTCTCCCAAATTCATTTAGGCGACACAAAAATTTAAAGACTTTGTACTGTAACAGCACTATAATAATCTATTCTGTGATTCAACCCTTTAGCTGAGCGGTAGCATGGTGCTTGTGTTCTTAGGCAAGACACTTTACTTCAATTGCCTCTCTCTACCAAGGAGTATAAACGGGTACCTGAGAAGGTAGAGACCAGATTGCACTGATGCTTGTGTTCTTGGGCAAGACACTTACTTCAATTGCCTCTCTCCACCCAGGAGTATAAACGGTACCTGTGAGGGTAGAGACCAGAGTGCGCTGATTT